TAGCCGAATTATATACTTTTTTGACGAATGATTGACGAGTGGCATAATGCCGAATAAATCCATTTCGACTAGTGTACTAAAGCCGTCTGACGAAAACTTAGTGAGAGTAAGAAAAGTAGAGTGTGGCAGCTAATATGGGAACAGTAGAAAGGATAAGGATTGAAAATTTTCTGTCATAGGTTTCCTTCTCGTTTTTTAGCAATGGCGCCTCCATTGTGTGTTGACCCTTTGTTTTTCTCTTGAAGATAAATCTGTGATGGCGTTTGCATCAACTGATCACGGGTTACCTTTGCTTGTCTCTATCGGCATAACATTATCTTGCTCCTTTGTCGTTGCCTTTCCTATAGGTCTCACCTTCATTGTTACTCCTTTGCCTTTTGACAGGAACAGTGATTTCTTCGGTTACGATGTATCTGTGATGGGATCCAGAATGATAAATAATGAGATCAGATTTATTCTCTATAAAATATGTAATTAATAAAATAAATAATAATAATGATATAAATAAAACTATTACCATCCTTCTCCAAATCTTCGATTAAATTTCTTTGATGAAATTCTTCAGGATTTTGAAAAGATTCATCAATATTTTTACCTCAATAATTAACAAATTTATTTTTGCACTATCGTGAGTTACAATATTGCATGATGTGGGTATCGAGAGTCAACGTACTGACTTGAAAATAATAACCATGTGATATAGTAAATAATCATGTGAGAAATTATATATTATATATGAAAATGTAAATAATGTATAAAATTGTAAACATACCTGTGCACATAAACGATACTCTTTCGAAATGATTTTAATACCTCAATGTCTTGATGATTTGAAATATCGTGGTAAGAAAATAATATAATGATATGGTTTTATAGATATTATATATTAATTTGTAACTTATAATTATATAGCTTTTTGGGAAACTATTAATGAACCTTCGCTTACTAAGTTCTTAGAATTTCGTATTCGTTCTGGTAATTTGGATGATCCACAAACAGAACACTTCCGGTATAATACTGAACTATGTACAATCAGTGCACATTATGCAAAGCTGTCTGAAATGGGAAAAAATGTAAGAAAGTGGAAAATAGCTTTTCAGGAAAGTATATCTTTATTGTTTTTAGAATTTTTTTTTCTTATTTATGTCTTATATAAACTTAAGAAATTTCATTTTTTTTTAAAAGAATGCTAAAAAGAAAAGGACAAGCAAAGATTTTTGGGATTTAAGTGAAGAAAAGGAAAATACAGATGAAAAGTCTGAGAAATTAAATTCAGTTATTGCATCTATAAAAAATAAACGAAAGTTTAATGATAATTATGATCAAGTAAAATTGACATCAAAAAAAGTAAGTATATTTACAGTATATAGAAAATAATTTAAATAAAAAAATTTATTATTATTTTTTGTATTATTAATTATTTTAGATATTAATTGATGTTGATATTAATGAGAAACATAATGAAAACATGAAAGATGAAAATTTAAGAATTCAAGAGGTATCTTTATTGTTATTATTTTATTTTTAATTATTTTAATTATTTTAATTATTTTTCCTATATTCTATAAAGAGTAATATAACTGAAATGCAAGCAATCATTAATAAAATCAATAATTTAACTTATCGATTATTTGAATATCGAGTTATTGATCTTTCTAATCGAAATGCTGCAAATCCTGTAAATAAAATATTTACATTTGCTGAAAAAAAAATGTTACAAGATTTTTGGGATGCAGTATGTTATAAGTAATATATTAATAATTATATAATATATATAAGGATTATAATAATTTTATCTATTTTTTAGTCTGAAAAATTATGTAAATTTAATACATATAATTCAAAATGGGAAAAAGTTATAAAACCTCTTTTAAACAATTATAATAATGCTTTTATAATTCGAGAATCAACATTCGATGACATTATAATAGACTTTGATGTTGTTATGAGGAAACCATATGATTTTATATTTGATTATAAGCAACATTATGATATTATATGGATAAAAAAATTATACGAATTATTGTAAGTAACTATTATTTAATTGATTTTTGTTTATCTAGTTAATTAATTAATATTATACTTTTTTATATTTTAGTATGTTAAATTTTATGTCACCAATAAACAGACTTTTAAATCCAAAACAAAGTGAATTTTCTTATCGGGAAGATTTTATTTCACCAATATTAGCAAGAGCATTTGATGATTTGGATGCTATTCAATTTAAAACGTAATTTATTTTAATTAATTTATTTTTTATATAATTTAAATATTTATATATGTATTTATTAATTTTTTAGTGGTGAAATCGAAAATTTATTGACAAAAATGCAAAGAAATGAGACAGAACAACAGAAACATCGTATTCGTCTTAGTTGTAATCAAGATGGAATTATTGAAATTAGTTTAAATGCAATGGATTTGGAGATCAGTTTTATGGAAGTTGTTGGCAGTGCAATTAATACTGACTTACAAAAACTTAGTGAAGATACTGAGAAAGTTTTTAAAGGTTTGTATATTTATTTATTATTCTAAGATAATTACTATTTTTAATAATATTAACTATATATATTTGATAGCGATGCAAATTTCTATATTTTATCAAAAGCAACATTTTTTACAATGTGGAATCACTGAAGATAAATTTAAATATTTAGAAAGTTATGGAATTATTGTATATAGTAAGTGGGATTAACTGAATATTCAAATATAACTTATTTTTAATAATTTTATTATTTAGAACGTACAATTACTATCTATATAATGCACTACATGCCGGAAGGATTATTTATTGTCGATATATTAACAAAATTTTCGATTCCTGAAATAAAAAGTCAATTTGGCATGATTTATGAATTGATTGAAAAGGTTTATTTTTTCAAGGTATTCATTTTATTAATCATTTTATTTTGATTTTTGACGCATAAGATTTTAAGACTTATATTTATATTAAAGGTTCACATTATGGATTACTATACAAAAATGCGGGAGATAATGTTAAATCCAAGCAGAAAATATATTCGGACAAATGAGTTACCAACTCCAGCATCGCCATCAAGAACAGCTACGAATAATCTACATTAAAATTTTGTCAAGAGTAGAATTTATTGGATACAATATTGTAAGGCTATTAATACTACATGCAAAAAAAAATACGCAATAAAATTTTCATATATTTTTTTAAACTATCTTTTTTATTTGTAGCCTCCCCACTAACTTTTACCATATTCTTTTAAGAAACTTTCTATCTTCATATTTTTGCACAAGTCAGTGGAACTTCGGTGATTTTTTTGCTAATATATTGGAAAAGAAGAATGTTTAGGTTTTTTACTTTGCTTTAATCTGATATGAAGCACATTTCATATTCAGGGTCGAATGATTTTTCTGCATTTTTTTTTTGAGCATATCTAGGTTTAGATATATTTGCAATAAATTTTTACTGTAGCAAGAATATATGCTATTGAACATGTATGCAAAATTATTACCAATATACTGTATATATCATAAATGCTATCAAGGAATGTTATTGACTATGTTGCAGTACATTTAACTAATATGCGGGAAATTCAGTTACGATTACTGTACATCATTTTTTGTTTCTT